GTACTTGCAGAAGGAAAGGCTCGTTTTTCTGATCTCCATGTCCCTGGTTTCCAAGGTCCCTGTGCACTTCCATGTCTATGAAAACTCCTGTTTATTCCAAAGGGGCTACTCAGGCATATTACAAGTGTTGGACTAGACTCCTGACCTGGGGAGGGTGAAAAGAAACTGTGGTACAGCTGGTACAGGGAAGGTTTTATTGAATTTGCACTTTTCCCAAAGAAAAGTGAATGAATTAAGTGACATTCAGCATAGATATTTCTATATTTGCACGATTTATTACCTAGCTGTATAGAAAGGGAAGCAATAGAGTTTTTTCAGAAGGTAAAAGAGAATTATAGGGCTTGTTCTATAGCTCTCCAGGAAAGGTAGAATTTCCCAGTTCATTCCTATATAGCCTTTGGTTGGCTTTTAGCTGTCATAGACCTGAGTTTTACAGGTCTTTGGAGATGTTTTCAACTCTGTGGGTCTTCCGAACGGGACAGAATACTCCAGTGTAAGCAGAATTATTCTTATTCTTAAAAAAAAAAAAAAAAAAAAAGCATAAGCATGCTTGCCTATTTAATTGTCGATTTATAGGTGGAATTTTGTCTCAAATAAAAATTTAACCTGAGAGACAGTTCCCTAACAATTTATATTATAATTGTTCGCTTATGGCATGTTCTCTTTTGAAAGGGACTCCATTGCCATAACAGAGCCATTCCCTTGGCACCATTTAGAAATTACACCCTCTGTTTAAAAAAGTTGCTGTTGAACTGCCCAAGTAATTGACACTCTCTTTTTTCAAGACAAGATTCAAGCATGAACTGCTGAAAGCATTTGGCCGGTGTGAAACCTTCACAGCACTTCTTGCAGGAGCACAGACACCCGAGTGTCTTGGCTGGGATTCATCTGGGGCAGTCACATTCTGCCTGGTCCATATTCTTTCTGTGGTTTCAGCTCAGATGGAGGTCACTTCTTATTTCCCAATGAAAGTTATTAAGTAGTCTCTGTATTTGACTTTAAGTATTGCTGAGTTTCACTGGTTAAAGAAGAACAGAGGAGCACAATGTGCCTTTTGCAGGGAGCAAGTGGTGGCAGGTAGGCAGGGAAGGACACTGGCTGATCTCCTCCGTCCCTGACACTTGTCACCTGGCTTCAGCAGTCCCAGAGCTTTTCCTCAGTTGCATGGCAAGGTGTTGTGTGGGGCATTGAGATGTATAAAACAACCTGCTTAAGAGACTAAAGCACCTGAAAGTTAAAAACCATAGCTTTCAACCATCCAAACCTGTTATTGCTTCTGGCCTTCAGCATCTAACGTGGTGGCAAATGGTTGCCCTTGCCAGCTATGCCCTATTGCTGCCACTGAGGGGGCTAAATTCAGTGTTGCTCATTACATGTACTCAGGAATAATGCATTGAGATGCCGCATTTTCTGTTTGTATGCTGCTTTTTGTGTTGGTAGGATGCACACTTCCAAGCTTTGCACCAGAGCTGACAGACCTTGGCTAGGAATATTTATTTCCACTGCATTAAAAAAAACCAACAAACCTGGCACCAAGAAGCGAGCTTTAAGAGCGATACCAGAGATTGTGGAAGTCACATTAAAATCTTGAGCTACAGCAACCCTGCAAGATTGGAAGCAGCAGCCATGGAAAGTTTTAGCCAAGTGCTGGCATAGTCCTTAACCTCTATGTGATTCTCCAGGCCTTTAAGCCCCAGCACCTTTGCTTCAGTGATATAAGACTTGCTTTTATTTTGTTAGTTCTAACCATAAGTAGGAGTTATTTAATGGGCATTAGTCATAATGTCATGGATATTAAATTGCTGAGGCAACTTGGGAGCTCGTGTGACCTCCATCCGTTCTGCTGGCCACATGAATTTGACCCCCTTTTCCTGCTGCTTTTCAGATTTCCCTTTCTAATTCCTTAACATCAAGTGAAGGCCATGTGTTATCATCCCTAGCAAATGGTAGTGATTGGGTGGTGTTCAGGTGCTGCAGAAGGAAATGAGCTCATTGTCTTTAGAGCGCCTTGCAGAGCTAAAAAAAGATTTACAGGGCAAAAATAAAATGATGTAATGAATCTGACAGAAATGGGACGGTAACTGGAAGGTATTAAAAAGCGGGAACGTGCGGCATAACTGAACCGATTGCCTGTGTTTAACAACCAGCAGATAAACCTGCTAAAGTTGACATTGGCTTTGGCAGCTTAAGACATTAGAAATACCCTAAGCACATGTACTGTGTGACTGTTCATTAAGACAAGTGAAAGATTGCTGTCTACTCTGTAAATGTGTTTATACTGCAGGAAACAGATTAGATGGTGTTTAAATATACAGGAAAGGAAGAAGTGGTAGCTTAAACACAAGAACCAAAACCCCAAACAAACATTATTTGCCTTGGCTTGGGGTAAGAAACAGCTGTAGGATGTATTTCACACAGCCTATAAAAGGAAATTAATCACAGTAAAAAAATACAGACTGCCCAAAACAAATTATGAGACATCTCACTTTTTTTTTTTTTTTCTTTAATGGATACCTAAGGGTTTTAAGAATTTTTTCACACATTAACAGAGAGACCAGAAAGCTGATAGTCTAAGTTGGTAAAATCTGGGTAAGGCTCAGAAAAACCTATCTTCTTAATGAAAAAGCACTTTTCCATATAGTTTTTGTATCGCCTGACAGCCCCTACAGGCACATTTTTTTTAAAAGGTAAATCCTGTCTTTTCAGAAGAGATGCATGTCTTTCAGACGTTCAGCTATGAACTACCTTCTGTGTCCTTCTAATCTCATTTGTTGTCTAATTTAGCTTCAATGCAGTATGCAAAATATGTTCTGAATTTATTTCTGGATTTCTGAATTCCCGTTTTTACAAATTATTTACAGACTCAACAAAGTGGAAATCTTTTGCAGTCATGCAAATTTGTTTTTGTAATGGTGGCTGAAAGCTTGCAAGTACAGCAGCTGAAAGTTGGGTACTGAGGAACCCAAACCTGGATCTTTGCACTCTGTCTTAATGTAAAGAACTTTACACACAAACCTTATGTGTTTGTGAGCTGATATTGTGCATTAGCACAAAACTCCCTGAAAGAGGAGCAGTGGCTTTTCAATTGCAGCACAGGGGCAGCAGATTTTTTCTTATTTAGGAAACATATTTCTTAGATCTTGTCATTTCTGTATCATGAAATGTATTTCATTCCAGTATAAATATAAAAAAAATATACTTGATGTGCATAATCGGGTTTGTTTTTTCAAAATCTCTTCATTTTAAAGCATCTTGCCATTTTATCTGAATTTAAAAGACCGTCCATGCTACTATAGCCTTTCTGGCCAAAACACACAGTGTTTAACTGGGATATATCAGTATAACAAATGTGTGTTATCATCACTGTGGCCTTTTTACTCATGGCATTGCTATCTAGCCAAATGCTCCTTATAGACGAACATACGTGACTTACCTAAATTGAAGTCTCTAATTGAAAAATAGCAAGTCACATGAGAGTCAGCATGGGACTAACATGGAAACAGTGCTGCATCTGGTGTGCTAAATCACTTCTAATCTTTGAAAACCATCCATGTTTCAACCTAGTAGTGAATAGGAGGGAATGGCTGCTGGACCACTGGGTGCTGACAACAGGATGGTGTGCTGTTGGGCTGCTTCTGTCCATAGGGCTAGCAAACAAAAAAAGAACCAAAATCACCACAGGTTTGGAAAACAAAATTAATCTGTTCTGCTACAGCAAGGTGTTAGTTTTCCACCAAAGTGTTTAAATGCTACATGTTAACAATACAGCCAGAAAATATGTGTAAGATAGTCTGTTGAGTCTTGGCTATTAAAAAGCAGGGATTTTCTGTGATGTCGTGTCCATTGAGTTTTGATTGGGACTTTCTGCATTACTTGAAGAATAAGCATAATGGAATAAGATGTGTGATCCCTGGTGGGATATTCACTCTTCTATTTGTGTGGCAGGATGCAGGCAGGGAAGCATACTCAGAAACCACCCTTCCAGTCCTAGGAGTGGCACTGCAGAAAAAGTTCTTCCTTATGGGGTTGAGAGGAAGAGAGGGAAAAAGTAAAAAGGAATTAGCACCTGGACTCAGCTGCTATAAAGTATCTCTTTATGCTGGCTTGAAGGTAAACTGAGGCAATGCAGGAGTTTTCTGGCAGAGTTCAGTGCATTGCTGGTCACTTTCATTTGTGAAGACTGGCTAACATGTAGTAATATTGCTTTTTACGGCTATTTGAGTCAGACAATGAGATCCCCAGAAAAAAAAATTGTGCACAGAGCTCTTAGGCTGAGATTAGTTCTCTTCTTGCTTTTGTTACTTGCAGGTAATTAATCACTTACTTCCAAGAAGTTGTGAAAGAGTTACTAGCTCTATCAACAGTGTAGTCTCCAGAGAAGTGCACAGGCAAAGGGATGCCTAGTTGTTGTCACATAGTGGTGGAAATGAAATTTAGTTTTCAGTTAATGCAGTAGACTCCTAAAACCTGCTAAAACCAAGTTTCTTTCCTTAAAAATCACATTGAAACTCAGTAGTGGGTGTGTTAGGACAAAAGTGCAAGTAACTTAAAATCATTACGTTTGACTTAACTCAGAGGAAAGGCTGGCCAAGTTTTGCTTCTTGACATGGTTTGCCTGTTCACATGCTGCAGTATCCATTTGAAACCACCGAAGTATAAAGGTAGACAATTATTGGTCAGCCAAGAAATTGGTAATAAACATCAGAATTTCAGTGTGGCATTTTAGCCTTATCTCTAAATCGGCTTTCATAGTTTTCAATTAAATAGTGTGTCTGGCCATAACCTGTTTATTTTTACACCTGTAGTTAATCCTGACCCCTGCTGTAAACCCAGGTAGTCCTTTAAGGTCATTGAGTGCCTCTGGCATAATGTGTTGTTGACATGTACTTGTGTGCAGGATGGGGCCTGGCGCTCCGTGGGAACTGCACGCCTGTTGTGCCCAGCTTCTTGAATTTTTGGAAATTATGGTTGGGTTTTCACACGCATCTCAATTTCATCAGGGCACTCTCCTTGTGGCGACCCAGACAGCTCTGTTGAAACAGCTCCAGAGGAGGCAGAAGCACAAGACTTGGAGTCATCTGATGAAGCTGACAAGATGAGCAAGGTGAGAAAGTTTCATTTTCACATGACAAGGAGTGAAAGTGAAGTGCAGTCACAGCTTATCTGCTTGCTTCACAGCTACACATGATTAGAACATCTTTCCTGGGAAAATGTTAATCTTGCTTTTAAGGTGTTTACAGGTGATATTGAATATAACAAATTACAGCTTCAATTATGGCATATGGTTACCCCTTGAGCAAGACTAGTGCCCTTTTTCCAAGGTCAGTTCCTGTCTTCAGTATCTTGTGATAACATTCGCACGTAATTTTTAAATGGAATGGTTTATTACTGCCCTCACCAGAGCAGGACAGCTAAACCAAAAGATCAGGTTGATTATGATTTCTTATTCTTTCTTGATTTCTAGGCATAGCAGGAATGGAAGGAAGTTAAACAGTTATTTCTTTAAATCAATATTGTAGTGCACATGCTAGTTTTTAACTCCAAACTAATTACAGCTAATCTACCTTAAATTGAAGCAAAACTCTCCAATTATGGCTAAGAGGTTGTGCAAATGGATTGCTAATTGCCATATATTAAGGGATGGGTTTCACCGTGGTTGGTAGTTTGCACTTGCTCCACTGCTAGGGAGCTTTACACAACATAAGGTGTGATGATTAAGTGGCTTCTGTGCCAGAATCAAGTGAGATTATTTTGAAGGAACTGATTGCTTTTAGGTATTGGTTGCATAGGTAATGGTGAGAGCTTAAAACTATTTTTCTACAGAATTAATGATTTCATGAGTATTAGATCTCACTCTGTGCTTATGTACAGGTGTGTTTTTTCTCAGCTCTTATTTTAACTAAAATGGGCTACAGTGAGCTCTGACCTGGTTCCTGTGCAATGATACTCGTCATTGTAGCGAAAGGAAGGAAAGGACCCTGGCCTCTTGTTTCCTGATCTCTCATGTCATGCTAGCCTATAGTTTTGTCTTTGCTACCCAGAGAGTGGAAGTCAGATAAGAGGAAACATTCCTGTGCATAAAATATATGCAGAGCTTGCATGCAGAAAAGGTGATTGCTATTGCAGCTTCCAGGTTTTATTACGGGAGTTTTCCTTGTAAGTACAAAGAATTTCTTCTTGAGTAAGTGGAAACATTTGTTGATACTTTGGGAGTTTTTACTGTAAATATATGTGATCTTCATATGCTCTGACTGGAGTCTCTTCCCACATAGCTGCCTGGGGAACGAACGTTCTTGCAGTGTTTTCTGTAGCTTTCTATTTCTGAGCTGTACAACAAGCTGTGAGGTTCCATTTTGTATCTTGCCTCCTGGATCTTCAGAGCTGTAATTGCCTGAAGCAAGGTGTAAGGATTACGTGATTATCCTTGTGGCTCAGCAGATTTAGTTAAACTGAGAAATGTGCGTTAGCAGCTCTAATGCTTAATATTCTTATATTGGAAGAGTAACTTGTAACTCTAACAAGCCTTGGCTTCCAACGAGAGGAAAATCTGTTTTTCTGCAAATGAAATGTTGACACCAGTAAATGTTTTAGCTTAAAATTCAGAAATATGGCTTGTTTTGTTTGTATGATATAAAGAGGAGTGAGGCATTTAACTTCACGTTCTGTTTCTTATGGGACAAACTGCTTGAAATGGTCTTCCATAAAAAGCAACACACTTGTACATATAGTATATATACAGTGTGCTCAATTTGGCAAACCGTGCCACTGTCCCTGGTCACAAAGACCTCTATACTAAGTGGGCTTTCTTTGCTGTTCCTCCCTAACAAAAGCTGCAGAAGCCCTCAAATTAATTTACGATGTCTACAGAGAATTCAAGTGTATGGTAGCGGGGAGGATGTCATTGCTTGCTAATGACGTGCTCATTTTTCATTTTAAACTGAAAAAAACTAACATAAAAAAGCTCAATCAATGGGGTGCTTGTGGGTAGGTGTATTCCTGATCCTTTTGCTTTTCTGTGTGCTTGGAAAAGCCAACGTGTGTGGGGAGTTAAGGAGTCTGCAACATATGTTTTTCTATGGAAAGTCACCACCCAGCTGATACAGCAGGGAAAAAAGCAAAGGTGTTTTCCTGTCTCTGCACTGCCACACCTTTCCATGCTTCTAGGATTACAGCACAGAAGATTAAGCTGATGTCCTCAGCACTGTTTTACACTTGTTATTTTTGTACGTGGCAAGTGAAACACTGCCTTCCTACCCACCAGGAGGGGCACAAATGATCCTCTGTTATCACCATTACTGCCACAGTTTCCATTCTCCCATGGATGGTGGAGTTTGGAGAAGAGTTCCTTTATTTTCTGCCATTCTTGGCAAAAACAGGGCAGGACTGCTCTTATCCATTCCCTGCTGGGCAGGAGAGGAAATCCATTTTAACTATACTGGAGCCTCCCAGCTAAATGTAGAGTTCCCTTTCTTTCAGCGCAGATGCAGCATTAGCAGCTGAAGATCCAAAAATAGCATTTGGGTTGTCTTCTGCCCTGCGATAGCACGATCCTGAGGCAGGGCTTAATCCTGCAAACACCACCGCTCCACACCGTGGTGCTGGTGGTCTGCTGATGCCCACAGAGCACTGCAGAGGGTTAGAGCTCCGAGCTTCTCCAAGGAAATTTCCCAGCTCTCCCGCTAGCAAAGCGATCCTAGGGGAGAGTTAATAATTCATGGGAAGAGGAGAGGGAGGCAGCGCTGCAGCTCTCCTCCTTCATCGGCTCTTGTAGCACAGGCCAGGCAGGCTTTCTGTGAAGGTAAGCTGTGTGAAATCCTACCGAAAGCTGGGCTTGGGTGCCTTCTGACTTACCTGTAACTTTCTCATGTAGGTGATAGGCGGATGTGTAGCACAGCAGGTACTTGAGTGTGTCTTCCCTTCTCCTCCTCCTCCCTCCCAGCTGTCCCTTTCCCTTCCCCCAGCCCAGCATGTGTGCACGTGGGTGTGTGTTTCCTTAGTAGTGGTGCATTTGTTTCTTAATCTGCAAAAAGCCTCAAGCTGTTGATGGTGGTGAAGGATTTGGAGGGTACACCAGTAGCTCTGAGGATTCCTCCCTTCTCTGAAGATCTTATCTTCTGAGAATCCTAAAGAACTAATTTTACTTCTCCATTGCTATTGTCACAGGAATCATTATAATAATAAGAAAAAAAATGAAATGTCTGTAGAACTATTCTGATAAAATACTAGAAACCTGCTTCTGAGGTGGCTTGAGGCATTGGCTGTGCAGTGGTGTAGGGTAGTTGTTGTTCCCAGGGTTCTCTCCCTATCTAATTTCATGGTGCCTTGCATGTGTCAACCAGCCAGCCTCTTAGGTACAGCATCTCTTGGGTTGAAAGCCATGTAAACAGTAACAACCGGGTACGCTTTCTGGATGCAACTGGTTTCCTTTAAACCATGCAACTGGCAGTGGCTTGAGTTGCACTTCCAGTTGCTTCTGCTCTAGGGTGGGCTTCCATCTTTCCTTCCTCTCCCAGTTTCGTGTGGTTGCCAAGAAGAGGAGAGAGCTTGGAGGGAGAAGAGTGGGGGAAAGGAAAGTCTACTTTCTGCCACCTCTTCAGGCTTGTTTTCATTTAGCATGTGAATTAAAGTTTCACAAATAGCCTGAAATCTAGATGATGCCTCTCTGTCAGTCTCCAGTTCAAAAGAATATTTGGACCATATCATACTGGAGTAATTTCTTAAATGGCTCCTTGCCTCTGTGGTGACCTGACTGTTTTAGCTTTTTAAATGTTGTAGAATAAATTTAGGTTCAAAAGAGGGACCCTGAAAACTGAGTATATGTGTGAGTTTTTAATGTTGCAGGTTACCAAAGGCTAAGGTTGGTGTAGTGTTGCCTCTTAAGATCAGTCTTTGTGCATATTTTTTTTTTTTTGTAATGGTCCTTTGAATTTGACAGGGGATGTGTTTTAAAAGCTGTTATCAGTTAAAATACTGCAGGACACTAATTTGTCCACAATTAAAGACATCTGCCTCTTGAACTGAAAGCTAATTACGTTGCAGCACTTGTTCTTGGAGGAGCATGCTGTAATGGGCTCTGTGTGTGTATGCTTATACCATTTAGAAATATTTTTTCAGAGAAAATAGGTCATCTTCTCTCTGCCGCATTATTCAAGACAAGAATTAAGTCTCAAAACCTCCAATGTGTTGAAATAGATGTGAAAGGCTTAAGACAGGGATTTGAGGGGTAGGTTTTCCAGTAGCATAACTGGCTGTTTGAAGTTCTTTTAATTCTGTGCCTCTGTCCCTTCAGATGTTTAATATTCTTCAGCAGTGCTGTGCGTAGCCAATCGGCTCATGCTCAGCCACAGGCAACAGACATTTACATTCTCAGGCTGCCTTCACCTCTGCTTTGCTGCATTTCAGCTGCTCTGCTGAAGTTTTCCTCCTAATGAGTCTATGAAAAGCAGCATTGAGTTCTCAGTTTTGACTGGTGTCTGGCTCTGAATTCCAGCTAATGTGGTGAGCGACCGAGGCTGGAGGCAAATGACACATGCGGAAAGGCTTTGCTTAGAGAAGCATGGTCACTGCCCTTCCTTGTTAAAATGCAGCCGTCTTCCATGTTGTGTGCCAAATAAGCAGCAGGGAGTATCTGTCTGGAGTGGGAAAGCCCTTTGGATCAGCTGAATATGTGGAAAACTGGGATTTTCCTCCTAGCTGAGTGACAGCTCTGGCAGTACTGCCTTTCCAGCGATGTCAGCTCTTTGGAGAGGTAACCGTAAACTCAAGAACGAAAACCCTGGAGCTGGCGACTCTCTGTACCGTGTGCTGTATTGGGTGAGCAGATCCTCTGTGCTGTGTGACTAGTCGAAGTAATGAGCAGTTACATGAATTTTCATGCTGTTTTAATTGATGGGTTATAAATTTGAGGCTGAGCTGTAACGTATGTGCCCTGTAGAGGCTTTTTGATATTGTGCAGTGTCGTTAGCAGTCCTGGCAATGCGTGAAAGGATGCTATTTGCCCAGATTTTGTTTGGGAGAGCAATACTGCTTGGAGTTTGCCATCCGTGGCAAAAGATAGTTGTTGTGTGCTGATCAAGGGGGCAATCTGCCTGATGCCCAGGCACCTGTATGTCTCTGTAAGATAAGTTCAAGAGAAAATGACACTTTACTGTCAAAACTCTATGGCAGGTAGCCAAAACTCCCCAGTGTGGGCACCATCAACATGCTTGATGAGTTTAAGGACTTGATTCTCCTGTTGGGAAGGGTGTGAGCTTAGCTCCTCTGCTGAGCCCCCTGCAGATGAGGGTAATGTACTTGCAAAGTAAAACTTCACTTTACAGCCCAGCTGTGCCAGCCCTCCATCTCATTTTAAGGTTGCTAGCTGGGATTGCTTGCAGAATTGTGCTTGAAGTGTGATGTTGTAATTCTCCTAGAGAAATCCTGATTCAGTGCTGTCATTGTCACAGCTGGCAAACAGAGCTGGTACTGGAAGATAAAAGGATCTGTTTCTGTTCTAGACCTGCCGTATTCTATCTACTTTCTCCAAGAAAATGGAGACGGAGAGGCTTTTCTTAATACTGTTTTAGAGATTTCAGCAGAAGTGCTGTGTTCTGAACCTCCCTGGGTGCAATATGCATAAGCTTTTTGTCTAGAAATTGTGGTGGTTTTTGGTTTTGTTTTTGTTTTTGTTTTTTTTAAAGTAAATATAAAGTAGATGGGATTGCATTCAGGGATGAAACAAGACAGTCCATTCAATGAACAAGGAAGAGAACAGGTTTGCAAGCATTGTTGTGCTTGAGACTTTTTGTCTGCCCAAAGAGTATTGAGTGAGTGATACTTGAGAATTAGGTAAAAAGATGTGAGGCAGGGCTGAGCTCAGTTGCTTCTGGCTCATGCTGGACAGGACTGAAGTCAGTGAGTGGTTGATTGTCTGCAAAAGTGGAGATAAGGCTTTTAAAAGTCATCTACGCTTCCTTTTTGAAATAATGGGTGTAACTGTTCCTTCTGGGGCAGGCAGTGTGCCTGTATGACAGTTATCCAATTTTCAAGTACTTGTTAGTTTTTAGCAGGTGTTTCATGGTGTGAGTGGATTTTCACTCTCTCTTTCTGGGTGACTCAGATTAACATATATTAATTGTCAGTTCTTTGTCCGTTTCCAGCAGAGCGGGTAATTCTGGCAGGCTTTTATGTCTTGTCTTGAAGCCAGGCTTTCACCTACTGTACTTTGTGGACTTGGGTCAGTTGGGATCAAGATCATGCCTGTTGTAATCTAATGCAAACTTAACCTAAAAGTTTGGGTATGTTTTATACTTAAGACCACAGTGAGTATAGGTGGAACTTCGCTGAGAAATAAAAGGAATTACTTTGACTTATTATTTTAACTCTCAGTGACACATGCCATTGCCACAAGCTGAATTAGTTGGAAATGGACTGGTTTGACTCACTGCTTCTTTCTGCCCTCAAGTTGCAACATTTTTCCTTTCTTTCTCAACTGAGTTAAACTTCGGATACTGATGATGAGTATTTTTCCTCTAAAAAATGGTGTCCAAGAGGCATTTCTTAATAGACAGTCCCTTACATTTGTTTTGTTGCTTACATTTGTGTCCTGAAGAAAATTACCCTTTGTATAATAAGCATCTTTACTAATATTTGCCTTTGCAGTTGCACACTCAGGTGAGCATTTATAGCCTTAAGATACCTTTAAGGAAAGCAACTGTATTATGGCAGGAAATTCTTCACTTGTCACTAGCACAGTTAATGCTCCTCTTGGGCTTCATGGCACTGTAGGTGCACTGAGAGGGGAAACTAGCTATGAGCAGACTGCAGAGCTTCAACAACAAGGAGTTTTATCAGCACTTGGTCATCTTGAACATGTGGAGTAGCACAGGCTCTGGATGAGGTTGTTGCTACCAGCTGGTGGGAGTGAAATGATCTCCCAGGTGGCAGGGCTCTGTCTCCAAACTGCAAGGTGGTGATATGTTGATTTTTATTTATTTTGTTTGTTTCTGTTGTTGTTGGGTTTTTTATTTGTTTTGGTTTTTTGTTTGGGTTTTTTTGTGGGTTTTTTTGGTTGGTTTTGTTATTTTTTGTTTGCTTGTTTTTTCTTTTGTTGCTTCTTTTTTGGTGTTATTGTTTTTGTTTTGTTCTCCTTTCATCTCTTTGCATATTCTCTGTTTGAACGGGTTCATCTTAGGTCAGTTGTATGAACTGGAGGGCTATAGATACAGTGTTGGGAAGTCACTGAATCTGGATTAAGATACCATGGCAGGATTAGACACAGAAGGTTAGGGAAGTGTAATCAAGTTCAACAGCTCTTTTCCCTCCTATGGCCTCTCCAGGTCTTTGGGAGGGATGGAGGCAGGGCATGCTGCTGCTTTGGCAACCCTGGAAGCCTCAGGCTGTTGTCACTGACACCAGAGACTATACCTGCTCCATACTTTTCAGGGTAATGAAAGATGTGAAAAGATGATCTAACAAGGAGGTGAAGAGAGGATAACTGTCTTTATATATAGACAGCTGATTAAACATTGAAGAAACCAGCTAGATGTAGCAGCTCTGAAAAACCTGGCTTAGGGGAAAGAAATTCACCCTGCAAGGCTTGTTTCTAGACATAGAGCAGATATATATTTGCTGTCCCCAAAAAGCATGCATTTGCTGGCTCTGCTTCCCTGAAAAACAACTTAGACAGTTTCTGTCTCTGCATTGTCTCCTAGGCTGTGTTGACACAGCTATTCATGGGACTGTTGCAAACTAGATTAGGGAACTGGCAGAGGGCTGGGATGTGTGTTTTGTTTGCACAGTCATTTTTGGTTCCCAATTCTTGGGCCTTTTTGTTTGATTGTTTTTCAATCTTAAATTCTAGAGGAGCCTATTTAATCACAGATCATTCTTACCTGAAACCAGGAATGTTATTGAACAGCATGTTAGGTAACTTGAATTGTGCAACTCTTTTTTTTCACCCCTTATCCCCAGTCACTGAGAGATAGTATTGACATATATGAAGTTATGTGTGCACTTTTGTACTTTGGTGCCAATTAAAGAGCCCCTAAGCTGCAAGTGCTTAACTGCAAAGGATTTTCAGCTCCATCATTCCTATAGCTCTGACTTAAAATATTACCACTGGTCTTTCCTCTTCCTTCTTTTTTAAAGAGTACAGAGCAGGTCGCTGCTTTCTGTCGCAGTCTGCATGAAATGAACCCTTCTGATTCAAGTGCTCATCCTCAGGAATTTACAGGACCCCAGCTGGCCACCATGAGACAACTCACAGATGCAGATAAACTGCGAAAGGTTATCTGTGAACTTCTTGAGACAGAGCGCACCTACGTCAAAGTAAGGAGTCTTGATGTGTAGTGTCTGTCTACTAATATTTCTTCCCATTCTGGAAAATTTTGTTGGTTGCTTCTCCAGTAGTTCAAACTATGTCTCATGCATATACCTCTTAGTGAACTTGCATCCAATTTTACAGTCGGTTGCTAGAATAGTAGCTTAAGCCTCTGAAATAAGTAGGCTTTCCAAATTCTTATGCTGTTGTTTTGAAATTACTTACCTGGTGTGCACTGGAATGTTGCTCAATGTGATCTGGTATTGATTGTAAGTGTGTATAAATGTTTCCTTTAACTATCATATATTTTGTGAAATCAAACTATTTTATTTTACACATGAAAGGGAAAAATGCCTAGACTGGGTAAAGAGTGATTGTTGCCACTTTGATAAACATTCAGAAGTAGTTTGAGGAACCAACATGGGAATCTTTTTCTGAAATTTTAGGACTTAAATTGTCTAATGGAGAGATACTTGAAGCCTCTACAAAAAGAAACATTCCTTACTCCAGAGGAGGTAAGTTAACTGTTGCTTCTCTTTTTGCTGGATATCTTACACACAGCCTTCCACTCTGTCTGTCCCCCAGATTTGCTTGTTTGAGCAAGGATGATGGAGAAATGTTGAATTCCATTTTAAAAAAATTAATTGAGTAGAATATAAAAGTGCTGCTCAATAATTTATAGTCTGTAGGTTGACTTTGTTTTGTTTGGGTGGGTTTTTTTGTTTGGGGTTTTTTTTCTGGCTGCAGACTGGTTGTACAACTGGACTGAGAGTCACCCAAGTTGTAGAAAACATGATTCAGGTAGAAAGTTATATTTTCAGCATCTTGCTTTTTTTTTTTTTTCCCCCTCACTTGTTAGCTGGATGTTCTTTTTGGGAATCTGACTGAAATGGTAGCATTCCAGGTAGAATTCTTGAAAACTCTTGAAGATGGAGTAAGGCTGGTTCCAGACCTGGAAAAGCTTGAAAAAGTTGAGCAATTTAAGGTAATTTCATTGTTTATATTCTGAGTAGTCCTGTAACACTTCATCATATTTATCTGACTGCTGTCACTGTTCATGTAAAAACCTACTCTTGCTAATACTGGAGCTGTTTGAAACATGTCCTGCTACAATGGCATTTTATGCTACATTTAGCCGTACAGACTACTGGAAATCTGTAATATCATGTGCTTTTAGATGCTATTCTTGTCCTTCTGTCAGATTTCTTGTCTCAGGCTGTCAGGAAAAGCTAGGCATGGAAACTTACGTAAAATCTTTGTTCTGACAAGTCTGATGTACTAGTTCAAAAGCTAAACAGGGCTACAGATCAGAACTGTAAATTGAATTCTGTATTTGGGATTTTGATGCATAGCAGAACTATATAGAAAATGCATCCAACTATCAGCAGATGTGCATCAAAGGTAGATATTTAAACTAATGATATATGAGCTTCATTTAAAGAATGAATAAATTAAAAAATAAATGTGGAAAAAGAAATTCAGTTTTATTTCCACTGCAGTCATGTGCTGGATATATTGCAAGTAGCTAATACACTGTTTTGCCTTTGGGGAATTTTACTCTTGCTTTGAGCACTCATCTTGGTAGAGGACAGAATGTCTTGATGAATAATAATAATTCCACTGGGATTGCTCTTCAGCTAACATACAGCCGTGGAGGTACTACTGAAATAATTTGTCTTTTTGTGCATGTCTGGCCTTGCCATCAGGTACCTGTTTAAAATAAACAGGAATCATGAACACTGCCCTTGTGTAGCTAGAACATAGCTTCTTTTTTGTAGGAAATATGTCCTTAACAGAGAGCACAGAGACACTTTTTTTTTTTTCCAGTGGAGGAAGGCTCTGTGAAGTGCAGAAGAAGCCTCCTTGTGGAGATACCTCTGTCTTCTTTCTGAATGCTGCTGTTTCCACCTCTTTCTTTCTTTTTTTCTTTCCACCTCGTTCATCAACGTGATTTTCAGTTCTGTGCTATGGGCTTAGTCTCAGATCTGTGTGTAAAAAGGGACATCAGGGCTTCATTGTTCTGCAGTTTGCTTCCCTCTGCTGACTGTAGGCAAGCTACCTATGTGTTGTCTCATGCACGCCCCCCCCCC